TTAAATACATGTACCTAATTAATTTTGATAGGGACAGGTATATCCCACTAACCTCTGAAAGCTTATCTAGAGCTCTGTAAAATAAAATTTTCATTTTAGACTCCAAAATATAATGTTATTTAAACTTTTCTAGGGTCACAGTTTGTTTGATGCAAGACTTACTGCTAATTAGCCTAAGACTTTGTGTTAAAGTTGTTACATGTATCTTGCTACAACTTAGTACAAGCTGACAGTGCCATGAATTATAATTTTAAATTTGTTGTTTCAGGCTGTTTGATGAAATCTTTAGCGAAAACGATATTAAAATATTTAAAAAAAAACATGTATTTAAAAAACAACTATTATTAAACAATAAAAAAGTACAACAGCAAAAATATCATAATATTTCTGAGGGAAACAGACAAATTGTCACATAATTCAGTGTTGCATCTAGAATTTCAAAATTATGGGGGATTGTCCCCCACTCAATTGAAAAATGTGGGGGATTTGAAAAAGATGTGGGGGACATACATTGACCTTACAATATGACATACCGAATAGAGTTCATTTATTTTACATTCAGGCATTTTTGACAGCTATCGTCCGCTCAAAAACGGAAGTAGAAAAAATAAAATATTGACGAATACTACAAAACACACGCGAGATGACTTAGTCGGCTGCTACACGCGATTTAGTACGTATTTTAGTCATAACCACGAGTGAAAACAAACATGGCTGAAGCGTTTAAGATACGATGAAGATAAACTGAATTAAGTTGAAAAGATTGTCAGATGCGCGACTTGGCGCGCACTGACTTCAATAAAATGCACGATCTGCATAAAAAATGCGCAAATCGCGCGGCCTAGAAGCAACACTGATAATTCAGCTATGCTGATTTTTATTTATTTTTTTTAATCAGGAGGATGCTTTCTCTTCTTCAAAGTTCTTTGGTCTGTAGTAATATTTATAACTTTCAGTTAATAAATGAATTATTTTATAAGCACTTTTAACAATGTTTTGATTGGTGATGATGACATAAATTTGTCAGAGTGTGTGCTAGTCTAAACTCTAATTCATGCGTATTTTATATTCCCCTAAGAGCTGAATGGGCCTGTCTTTTTCTTGTTACCCATGTCCTTTGTGAAAGGTGAAAACTTGGAAAGGCTTTAGCTGATTAGACTCATGGTAAAATAATTCAACTTAAATAAATCAAAAAACACTATTTACAAATAAAAGTGTTGTCTTTTTCTTTTGAGTATGGGTCAGACTCCCTTTGAAATGTGAAAGTTAGCACCATAATGCAATTATTTGTAACAAAAGTCCTATTCTATATAGCAGAAAGATTAAATAAAAACAAGCAATTATCATAGTATTGCAAGCAATCCATAAGTCCCCTACCGGTAAGAGCCAAAGCAACATTTTGAAGGGCCATTGGCCATTCACTAAATGTACAGACAGACGGACTGAAGGACACTCTAAAGTTATTTTTTAAACATCCCTGTTATCAAAATATAACATTTTTAAAATCCTATCATGATTGAAGAAGTTGGAGTAAAAATTACCAATTTCTCAAAAAAAGTTTAAGTTAAAAAGGGGCATAATTCTGGAAATAGTCTTGCTAGAGTATTGAACACTCATAAATGTTGAGTGACAATAAGAAACATTTATATGAAGTTTGAAGTAGATACATTCATTCAGAAAAAGAAGTTATTAAAGAAAACAATGATTTTTTCATGAAAATTTTAAGTTCAAGGGAGGTAATTCTGATAATTTTTTGTGCTAGAGTTGTAAACCTTGTCACATATGATGTGGTTAATGACAAGCAACTTATATTTAAAAGTTTTGAAAAAAATACCTTAAGAACTAAAGAACTTATAGTGAAAAAACTTAAAAACTAGAATCAGAAATCTTGAAAATTCAGTCTATTTGTTGCCATAGCAACCAGAATTTTCAACATAGGAAGATAATAGAAAAGGATGTGCATAATTTCCATACTGCCATCTACCCATATGTCAAATTCATAAACATATTTTCAGTACTTTTTGTGTTATCACTGGATCCAGGTTATGTGTAAAATTTGCCATATTTTCAGTCTATTTGTTGCCATAGCAACCAGAATTTTCAACATAAGAAGAAAAGAAAAAGACGTGCATAATCTCCATACTGCCATCTATCCATATATCAAGTTTCATAAACATATTTTCAGTACTTTTTGCGTTATCGCGGGATCCAGGTTATGTGTAAAATTTGCCATATTTTCAGTGTATTTGTTGCCATAGCAACCAGAATTTTCAACATAGGAAGAAAAGAAAAAGACGTGCATAATCTCCATACTGCCATCTATCCATATATCAAGTTTCATTAAAATATTTTCAGTACTTTTTGCGTTATCGCGGGATCCAGTTTTGTGGACAGATTGACGGACAGACAGACAGACAGACGGACGGTAAACCTAAAGTCCCCTCCGGTAAACCGGTAGGGGACTAAAAAGAACTTATAGTGAAAAAACTTAAAAACTAGAATCAGAAATCTTGATATTCACTCTATTTGTTGCCATAACAACCTGAATTTTCAACATAGGAAGATAAGAAAAAGGATGTGCATAATTTCCATACTGCCATCTACCCATATGTCAAGTTTTTTATAAACATATTTACAGTTCCTTTTGTGTTATCACTGGATCCAGGTTATGTGTAAAATTTGCCATATTTTCAGTCTATTTGTTGCCATAGCAACCAGAATTTTCAACATAAGAAGAAAAGAAAAAGATGTGCATAATCTCCATACTGCCATCTATCCATATATCAAGTTTCATAAAAAATATTTTCAGTACTTTTTGCGTTTATCGCGGGATCCAGTTATGTGTAAAATTTGCCATATTTTCAGTCTATTTGTTGCCATAGCAACCAGAATTTTCAACATAGGAAGAAAAGAAAAAGACGTGCATAATCTCCATACTGCCATCTATCCATATATCAAGTTTCATAAAAATATTTTCAGTACTTTTTGCGTTATTGCGGGATCCAGTTTTGTGGACGGACGGACTGACTGACGGACAGACAGACAGACAGACGGACGGAGGGTAAACCTAAAGTCCCCTCCGGTAAACCGGTAGGGGACTAAAAATATATTGGTTTTTCTCCCCTTCCGCTACCTATCCAAAAAATCACAGCTACACAAAATATTTTATTGACGAACAAAGAAAAAAAATTATTTTTTTTACAAAAATGAAAACACGAAGGCAGAGTGACAGAGTCTGCATAGAAAAGTCACATGTTTATATCTGTCTCATGTTTTTAAATTGTAAATATACAAACTAATTAAAATTTGATTCTAACTGTAAACAGATGCTAATCAGTCACTATTTGTTTTGAAATCCCTATAGATAACATAAGATAGAAAAATAGTTTCAAAATTTATTTATTTATTTTGGATTAAAAAAAAAAAATTACCTAGCTACCTACCCTACCTAATTTGGCAAGGGTCGGGGAGGGGAAAAAAAGGTAATTTGAAGGCTGGCCTTATATATATACAAACCACCAATGGTTTTTATTTTTAACACAGAGATATTACCAATATATATATACTAATAATGTTACAGTTAACTACCTATAACAGTATCGCTTATAACTATATATATATATAGTATATGCCACTTATAACGATTCTGTTGCCACAGTCACGACCCTTGTTTTCAAATTGGTGGGAAGGGATGTAACGAAACATATTCAGCTGTCCACTAGCAGAGTTTACTGTATTTGGTATTCTTACTTATAATGTTTGTGAAAGTTTGTCATATCTGTATTTAACCATACCGGATAGAAAAATATACCTACATCTTAAATAACTTCCCTAAAAACATCACAGTTTAACTTGAATTTTACTCTTTTCTTTAATATTATATTTATTAATATCAAAATTTGTATAAAAGTCAAACTCACAGGATGTGCTCCTGGTCTTGGAGCAATATTTATCTGCTGATTTGGTTGAGATGAAGCAATTCTAATTGGTGCATTTGGCATTCTATTTTGAATTCTAACACTTCCTGGTGGTCGCGGTGATTGTGAATTTGAAACATGTGTAGTCACTACTTGAGGTCTTACAGTTGTTATATGAGATGAAGGAACTTGTCCTCGCACAGTTATCACACTAGGATTAGCTCCAGGCTGAGTTTATCATTGAAGTTACATTAGCACTATGAACAATATGCACATTGGTTTTTTGTGTCAACTGCTGAGAATTTGAATTTATTAAGTGTCCCTGACTGTTCCGCACTATTGTCTGACTTGGCTGCACAACACCAGTTTGTCCAGTTGTTTATCTGTTGCGGAGCTGGAGAAAGTGAAGTCCGATTAACATGTTTTAATGCACTGTTATTTTGAATAACTGCAGAATTAGTTATAATAATATTGGAATTTGACTGCGCTACATTTTATATTATTAACTGAAATAGCATTTGATGGGGATGGCGTTGCACGATTCACATGTTGGTTGGTTACCACTGAATGATTTCCATGATTCTGTGGTGGTGTTATCACTTGAATGGCTGGAGATGAGGATTTGTTTACACTGTTCAATGGTTTTGGCGATGCAGTTCTATGCGAGTTTACAGGTGAATGTACAAGCGCAACAGGTGAATTTGTTATGAATAGAATTAATTCCTAGTATTTGATTATCATTTTTTATCACCGATTTTGCATTAGAATTATTAGTATTTCCACTGTCATTAGATAAATGCACAGAGTTATTTTGAGCACTTGTGCATGCTGGAATTGAAGAGACGTTACTGACATGATTGCTGTTGACGGACGGATTTGGTAACGAAGGGGATGGTTCTTTATGTGTAGGGGATGCTAATCTCGACTCTAATGACGCAACAAGTGCGTTAACAACACTTTCATCTGTCTCTGAATGTAAAAATGAGTCTAGCGGGTTTGGATCCGCCATTTCCCTGCACAGAATTTTGTAAACTGAATTGAGCATGCGCATACAATAGGACTGTGGGAAGGAAAACGAATCAGCGCCATCTGACGGTGTAATACGCCATTTTGAACAGTTTATCAGAGAGAGAAGAACTGGGTCGAAGAGAAATCCGCTGACATCCTTCTTTACCTTGTAAGAAGGTTGTATGTAAGCCATGAGTGGGGGAATCCCATATCTCGGCAGTAAAATTAGCCTAATATCGAAGGCTGGAATACGTTATGAAGGCATTTTATACACCATTGATCCGAACGAATCTACAGTCGCTCTTGCTAAAGGTACTAAAATTAGCTGACCGCAAATATATAACTTTCTGGATTGAATACACTTTATGCAATTATATTTATATGCAATGACTTTTACAAATAGCCTTATCTTTCTTCTCAACATAGAAATTTGAACTTAAATGCCAAAATTACCGATAAAATTGTCCAATTACAAGATGTGAAAAAATGTAAACAAAGTGGTGTTAAATCTTTTGTTACATATTCTGCTTATAAGTATGTTGGCTTTGAATGACAATTTACTTACACCATTTGATATACATTGGTCTCTTACTGTTTGGTTACTCTAAATAAAGACTTAACAAGCTGTTGCACTAAAATAGGCATCTGAGAACTGTTTTTCAAGGGGAGAACATAACCAATAATAAAGAAGTATGGTTGCCTCGAAAAAAAAAGTTGTTTTCAAAATTTCAGAAAATGTTGATAACACAGGAATTTGGAACATTTCTAAGCAGATTGTCTGCAAGCGTCAATTACTAATTATAAATTCCAGTGTTCATATTTTTGATGATTTTCATAAACTTGTCATAATGTGAAATTGAAGCCAATGAAGGAAAATGTTTACTTTGCATTTAAGTAGGCATGTTTATAAGTGTAATGTTTATCTAAATGAAGTATACAAGATTGATTTAATGCAGAATCGGATGCAATTGCAGCTTCAAATGAATTATTTGAATAACAACTTTCCATTACGTAAAACATTGTTTAACTGAATTTTACCAAATTGTTTAACTTAACACACAAACAAATATTGATGAATTGGATGGGATGCCATTAAGCTTCAAAATTTGAAAGTCGGAGACTGCAAAATCTCTGATATTGGAAGTCACATTATATAGGTAATGAAGGATAAGTATTAGATTTGGAAGTCATAAGCCAAAGTCAAGGAGTAAATGACTCCCAAACAGGGTTCTCGGGGACGCTTATTTCGGCGTCCTGGTACGCATGTTTATTACAACTGGACGCAAATATTTCAGAGCAAGGATTCCACGTACGCTTAATTTTGCCTGGGGAAGCATAAACATACATTACCGATTGTTTACAAATGCGTAAGCGCGTGTCAGTGTATAGGTAGGCGGTCCTATGCACATCGACCCATGAAGCTATTAGCCAATCAGCGATAACGCTTCCGATCATTATCACGCAATAGTGATCAGACTAATGTATACACGCATTGTACAGTACATGTAATTACCAGATATAACACAAGGTGATAGATCAAAAGTTGATTGGAGATTAGCAAATTTTACCGACAAAAAGATAAAATTAGCGACTCAATTATCGCCCAGTGATTTTTCTCACTTAATTGGGAAGAGGCCTTAGCCTCTTGATTTTGGGAAAAAAATCTCTAAAATTGCTGATTTGAGAAGTAAAAAAGCTGGTTTAAGTTCATATTTTTGGGAAAACTGCATGATTTTAAAGAAAATTTCAATTGGAAAGAGGCCTTTTTTCGAAGTCTGTTATATAAGTAGAAAAATCACTGTCGCCGCAAGTTTAAAGACTGTTTTCTTAATTACAAATGAGTGTAATTTTGAATGATTGTCGAATAGGTCAGCATAATAATGATTGTTGATTATTTTCGGCATTTTCTAAGCACAATTTTGCTTTAGTTTCATTCTTGCAAAATCGATCTATAAGAGTATTGAGAATTTAAGATATTGTGCCGAAATGCCAGGTACACATACGCTTTTCTTTGATATTTAGATTCTATCCGAAAATTGATCTGAACATCGGCGATTTCACGTTCGTCAGAAACTCTAAAATTTCGCAAAAATTCTCGGTTTCCAAGCCAAACATGCGAATGAATTGTTCCTTTATTATTTAATCAACATTAAATCATTAAATATCGATCTTCAATTTGCCCCCTTTTGAAGATATTTACTAAAATAATTGTCTATCGGATGAATCTCTTACACACTATGTGAAGCTGTACACGATTTTCCTATTCATTCCGCTAAACGCTGCCTATATACATTTACGTTTTTTTTTACAAATACAAACTTTTTGTCTTTAGAGTGGACTTATTTAACCAGAATAAAATTTGATTTGGTATAAAAGTGAAGAAAAAAAAACGATTTCCATAAGTTGATGCATTATAATGAAATAATTTCATAAAAAATATTAACAACAAAACAATAATTATACTATGTAGTTCAGAGTTTCTTTTGAATATCTATAAACTTTGGAAGTCTCTTGAAGATTCAAAATATCAGCAATGCTATTGTGAGCATTGAATGACTAATAAACATATTAATTACGACGCGCTTTTGGACTCCAACTTTTTCAGGGTTGGGAGTCCATGGACTCCATGTTTTAAAGTCCTAGTGAGAACCCTGCCCAAACTTCCATTAATGGAGGCCCTTGACTGGTTTAATAATGTGTCACAAAGCGACAAGTTATTTTTTTACCTCTCCATCCTGCATCCAGAATGCAATGAATTTGCGGAGGACGCAAAGTAAAAAGTGCTTGAAGTGTTTGAATTTAGTTTATAGATTTGTTTGAACTGAGTAAATACATTTGTTGTATTAAATAATGTTGCAGCATTCAAATATGTTTTTGATTAATTACTAAAGTGACTTTCAGATCATGATATAAAGGTTTTGTTATAAAATTCAAGAGGTCTTTCTTTAAAAGGCTTTGTTATTTCTGTGTAATAGCCCGCACCTATGATAAATAAATCAAATTTATATGTGTGTCCCATGCCTGTTACACACAATATTATAGTCTAATAGATTAGACGTTACAGACTTGTTTAGTTTTATGTTGTTCAAGCCCGACGTCTAATAGTTATTGCTCATAAACGCGTAGCATTTTGAAAAATTAAAAAAATGGCTGTTGACTTGCCTTTCAAGCTTAATTCAAAAGCTTATCTTCTGTTTGCATGGTCTATCATTACCAAAAACTTTCAAACAATGTACTTATCAATTAAAAATAAAATATAAATATCAGTTTATTTCGCTCATCGGCCATACTGGTTAAGTAAAGCGTTTTACAGATTGATTTCAATTTTTTGAACGGAAAAATATATTCGAACACACAGACGGTGCATGGGCAATTATTTCATTGAAAAAGTATTCCATTAGAAACTTCTGGACTCAATCGCCAAAATATCACAACCATTAAAAACACTTGGTTAATCTATAGCAAGCAGTCCACTTAGCCAATAAGCATTGCTTTGGAAGTCTTCCAGATATTATTAATGAATGCAGTCATGTCATTGGAAAAAGTATTTGAAATTGACAAACAAGATAAGAAACTCAAAATTTAGACAGTGAGAGTAGTAAAGTGGTGGGATTGGGACTTTCTGGATCATGGATGAAATATAAAATGTTTTGAATTGTTATTATTGAGAAATCACTGATGCATAACACCAGTGTGGTTTCAAAGTTGCAGGCATTCATTCAACTTGCTGGCAACGCAGTACCACTGTTACTGTTCATTGGTAGAAAGGATTCTAGTGTTCATAATCTGAATGTTTCAGTTTGTGAGTTGCTCATTACCATACAACATGGAGTAAGACTTACCAGAATAATCTTTCATTTTAGACTTTTAATAACATAACTTGATACGATTATTATTATTTACAGTTAGATCCTTCGGAACAGAAGATCGTCCTACTGATCGACCTGTAGCACCAAGAGATGAGATATTTGAGTATATCATATTCCGTGGGAGTGATATCAAGGATCTGCATGTGTGTGAGCCCCCAAAACCTCAACCATTGCAACCATTGCCTCAGGACCCAGCTATTGTAAAGGTAACATTGAAATTTCAATTCAGAAAGCTTTATTGTAAAGTTTATTCAGCTTTGAAGCAATGTTTATTCAGCTTTGAGCTTTTTGCATTGTTTTGAAGCTATTCACATTGAAATAGGTGGCAGAATTATAAGACAACATATTAAATTAGTTTTTATAAAAAGTCATTGAATTTCCAATCTGTAAATTGGACAAAAATTTGTGTAATCAAATAGATCTTTTAGATACTATATGATAAAATGCAGGCAACATGTTCATATTTTTATTGCCTTTTCAATGCAAAGGAGAGTTCACAAGTTAAAGCATATTGTACAGCATTTATGGCCATGTTTGTATTTCATTCAAGTCATCTCAGCCCACCCCCGGTGGCTCTTTCCAGCAGCAAAGTTCAGGATTTGGTGGAAATGCCTCAAGTTCATACCAGCCTTTCAGTGGTCCATCATTGTATGGTGGTCAGTATGGCGGAGCACCTGGAAACCAACAAGGGTATGGAGGACCTTTGCCCTCAGGAGGGCAACCAGGTAAGTAACAGAAAATATTTGTTTACCTGAAAATGGCTTGTAGACTTTAATACAAGTAAACTTTTCACATACAGGTCTCTTCGAAAAGGCTGCTTTTGTAAACTTTTAACCAAAGTGTTAAAAATTGAGCTAAAATGATGTCTTGTTAAGGCCAGCCTTAAAAAAATGTTTGTTTGCAGTAACGCGACCGACTCACAAAATTTGCCCCTACTCAAATTTTTTTTTCATGGTCTGGATAAAAAATATTTTTTTTGAATCAGAAAATTATGCCTTGTGCTTTGTTTTCGTTCTGTTAAAGGTTAGTAGAAGAAATAAAATGTAGGTCTTATTAAATTAGAATTCAGTTATCAATTTATTAATTGTTACCAGATTATCAAAGCATATATTGTCCAGCATTTTGAAATTCCATGTTTATTTGGGAGTACAGTTCAATAAAAAAAAAAAAAATCGACCTACCTACCCACCTTGAAAATTCTGGGTTGGGTTACTGCAAACAAACATTTTTGTAAGGATGGCCTAAACCACAAGGGAGATTTGATCAAACTATTATCTAATCCAAATCTAATGGATAGGCCCAATGAAGCTGTAAAATATATTTCAAAAACTGTAATTCTTAAAAAAGATCTGTAAGTTTGTTAATGGGACCTCCAAACATGTCACAGCTAGGCCACTGTTAAAAACTGGCATAATTAAACTTTCTTAAAATGATAACTATAGTATTTACCTTCTACAAAAATACCAACTTTCCTTGTTATTCATGTAAATGATAATTAATGCCACAGAGGTCACTTGCTTGTATTGTCGGGGGTATTCAACAATAATGAATAGGTGCATATATTCACATAGCTAAGACAAGTGTCAGAAAAATTATTCTGTAGGCGTAGGAATAAAATCAGATGAAATCGAAGAGAAAATAATGGGGTTTGACAAACACAGTTTTTGAAATTTATAAAAATATATCAAATTTATATTTACTACAAGGCATATTGCACTTTGATCAGTAACTGTTGCATAGGCTTTATACAAGATCACAGTACTGAGTTGTTATACCTCACTTGGACTGATGTTGCTTGACTAAGGCATTTGCATCTATAACATTTATTAACAACCTGTAGTATAGTATTTGAAGCCAATTTTATGTCTTGATCACCTTAAAACCGCCTTAATTTTGTAAGTTAATAGTTTTTAAAATTGAACAGAGCAGTACTGAAGAAAGAACCAGTGATAGTTAAAAGAATTTAGAATTCTTAGCTTTTCTGTGCATCAAGGGCTCATAAGAGCTTTTAGGATCAATGACTGTTTGTTGTCCGTCCACAATTATTTATCTGCACAATTTGTAGTTTCACTTTGAACCCAACTTGCATATACTTATATAGCTTGTATCACCACTAGATTAATAATATCTGTCATATGTTGCGGTTCGGACCGGAATATCTGTCCCCGAGGCGACCCGCCCATTTGGCAGTAACGAGGCTTGCCGAGTTACCTCCCATGGGTGGGTTCCCGAGGGATGAATATTCAGGTCCGAACCGCAAACACGTCAGATTTTTTTCTTCAATGCATATTCTGCCATATTATTTCATATTTAAAATGGTTTACACCAATATGATATATGTTCATGGAAATTAAAGTCATTTCATCCATAACAATTTTCTTACAATAGTTATGAACTTACAACTTAAATAACAAGGCGAAATGACATCATCCTAAGCACATATTTCCCTTCTAAAACGACGTCATTTTAACGTGGTTCATTCATTAAGCGCGCTAAAATGACATCGTTGTTTGGCACGCGACTCATCTGGCACCCCCCATGCCAGATGAAATTTCCGGCATGGGTAAAAGTCCCAGAAACGCCAGTCTGCTATGCAAGAAAAGTGATTCTGTCATGATTTCCAGAGTTATATCCCCTGAAGGAACCAAATAGGCATATTTTACCATGTCTTCATGGTGTTTGGTTTTTTTGCTTCTTGGCTAGATATTTCTAGTTCTTGTCCTGAAGCCATCATTTTTGTACTCTTTCATGCATATTCATAATTGGGTTTGTAGGTTCTGCACATGGATCTTTTATCCTTTGTGGAGTTCAAGATCTCACAAGTATAAAAATAGGTTTTTCTACTTCTGTTCAAAAATGTAGTAGTATATATATTCATTCGGGTGAGCAATAAAAAGGCCACCATGGCCATATTGTTTAAAGTTAGTTTAACATATTTTTCTTGATTGCTTAAACTTTTGCACTTAAAAGTGTCTGAAAATAGTTTTTGTTTTGTAAAATGCATGTCCTGATGTGTGTTGTCTGTTATTAGGTGGGTCCCGGGGGCCATCCCCTTCTCTTACTCGTGTTTCCCCTACCATGGATCAGGGCATACAAGTAGGCCCAGGCCCGGCTCAACAGAAGCGTCTTGGTAATCATGCATCACAGTTGCACTGCTTCACACTAATATAACGCCAGATGATTGCTTTTTGTGAAAGTTGGGAGAATAGTTCATTAACATCGTACTAAACTTATTAACCAGGTTTTCCGAAGGAAAAAACTGGTTATTAGATTGAGGTATGCCGGCGGGCGGGCCGGCGGGAGTAAACAATTTCTTCTGTGCGCAACTCCTCCTACATTTCTCAACAGATTTTGACCAAACTTTCACAGAAGCTTTGTCATCAAGTGCCCTGGCGCATATTGTCGGGGTTTTGCGATTAGATAATATTTGACCTAATTATGGCCCTTTGTTTTTTTTCCTTATATTAAATATATAGTGAACAATTTCTTCTGTGCGCAACTCCTCCTACATTTCTCAACAGATTTTGACCAAACTTTCACAGAAGCTTTGTCATCAAGTGCCCTGGCTCATATTGTCGGGGTTTTGCGATTAGATAATATTTGACCTAATTATGGCCCTTTGTTTTTTTTCCTTATATAAAATATATAGTGAACAATTTCTTCTGTGCGCAACTCCTCCTACATTTCTCAACGGATTTTGACCAAACTTTCTCAGAAGATTTGTCATCAAGTGCCCTGTCACATATTGCCAGGGTTTTGCAATTGGTATATATTTGACCTAATTATGGCCCTTTGTTTTTTTTCCTTATATAGAATATATAGTGAACAATTTCTTCAGAGTGTGCGCAACTCCTCCTACATTTCTCAACGGATTTTGACCAAACTTTCTTAGAAGCTTTGTTATCAAGTGCCTCAGGCACATATTGTCGGGGTTTTGTGATTGGATAATATTTGACCGAATTATGGCCCTTTGTATATTTTTTCCTTATACAGAATATATAGAGAACAATTTTTTCTGTGCTCAACTCCTCCTACTCTCAACGGATTTTGACCAAACTTTCTCAGAAGCTTTGTTATCAAGTGCCTAGCACATATTGTCGGGGTTTTGTGATTGGATAATATTTGACCGAATTATGGCCCTTTGTATATTTTTTCCTTATACAGAATATATAGTGAACAATTTCTACAGTGCGCAACTTCTCCTACATTTCTCAATGGATTTTGACCAAACTTTCACAGAAGCTTTGTCATCAAGTGCCCTGGCGCTCACTAAATTCCCATGTTTCTTCCAAGACATCATTCAAGTATTTTTTTAAAATTGTGAACATACTTTTCTTGATATCGCACAAAACACCACACGCCAATATTGTTGACAAAAAAATGACAAGAGACGCAAAAATGCAAAAATTAAGCAAAAATAAAGTACTGTTTACCTTTCTAAAATATTTGGGGAAAAAAGGCGAATAGACAACATAAAATTTCTCAATCATTTTTGTTTGAGGAATATTAAAAAAGCCATAATTTCTCCTAAAAGTTCAATTAAAAACAAATGCCCCTTCATGACAAAGCTTCTGTGAAATATTTTGCTGAAAACCTGGTTGCATCGCATTGCGATGTTCCTTGTTTATAAAACTTTCTATGTAGCTGATGAAAATACTCTGCTTTCTTAGTATATGCTGAATTTATATTCTTTTGTATTAATTTATACAGGTAGCATTAGTTGTAACTTCGATAAAACAATATTTTGCTTGCAATTTAAAATGCCAACAAAAATAATTTAAACAGTTTTTTTTTTGCAAAATTGAAATGTAGTTGAGTAGCAGAATATGTCAGGTTTTTTTTTACTACTATGGGATGTATCCATGCCTTTTCTGTGGGGAAAATTTGCACACTAAAAAGAATGTTTAACATTTTAAACCATGCTTCATTAACAATAATAAGAGAACAAACAAAAAATTGTTTAGGTACAGGAGCTAGAAATATGATTAAACTCATGTCAAAATTGGCTCAGCTGTATTGAAATGTTTTTGTAGTTAATTAAAATGAAATTTTCAGGCCACTGAGGACCATTGTTAATGCATCATTAAGTTTTGAAAATGTGATATAGTAATTATGTCCAACTTATTTGAAAGTGAACTGAATACATCATTCTAGAGGCATTAGTTACTGGAATGGTGATGGTTCTTTTCTGTCATCCTTTGCTTGAAATAAATGCACAGAGGCCTGTTGAACAATAAAGCTGATAAGTCATTATAAATTATAATCATTGACTTGAAGTGGCCTGTCTACAATAGACACATTTCCATTATAAACATTTTTAAATACTGATAAAAAGCAATAAATAGTTATCATTTGGACTGTATTAAATATTAAATATTTCTTTTCCTTGGATAGAAAAAAAAAAGTTTTAAGTGATTTTGTATGGACATTTAAATGATGAATAATTATAATTTGGCCTGGAATATTGTTAAAGATAATAGAGCATTCACTTCACACTTAACCAACAACATGTTTGATGTATAATATAACTTTTACACCTGAACAGTTTAACTTTATGTAAAGAAAGATCTGTGGATAAAAACTTCAAAAAGGAGCCTATTCCCAAAATGAAAATCTTTTCTTTTGTAAAAAAAGTATACAATTAGACTTTTCATGTTTAGTTGTTTCATTTTGTGGACTGTCATAAATTTCATCTATTTCTAGTTCAATATTGATATATTATATATGCTTAAATTCTGTTTGTTAATCATGCCTGATAATGGTATTGTATAGTTTGTAGCATGTTTTATGACTGGCTGTTTCATAATATATGTATATAAGAATATTGAACAGGAAACAAAATCAAAGTTTGCAAGTGTTTTTCTAAGTCTGCTTGATTATAGCCAATTGTGTACTTGCATTTCTCTGTAAATGTACCGCTTAACCTTAGTTTTATATAGCTTAACTATTAAGAGTTCAAAGGCAGGGAGAATATCATAGTAAGTTAGTAACTCTTGTCTGATCAAAGACTTTTAAAAGGTCTTGTAAGCAACTTTGTTCCTAATTCAGCACTGAAAGAATTGAATGCATGTTTACTGGGTCATAATTGTAGGTCTTAATCCAAGTTCTTTAACTCTAGCACTTTCACTGAATAAGAACCATTTGAAAATTTCAGTAATTACTAGAACTTACAAGGTATTTCTTCACGTCCTTGGGCACTAACAAAGTTTGCACTCTTACCCTGTGCTACGACCGGATGTAAACAATACGTTCGCACAGGGCATGCGAAGTGGTTAAATCCCACCCATTTTATTCGATTAAATTCTAGAACAACTACTACTTTCGGTTTCAATTTTGCTGACAAGGAACAGTTTGAATCAACGTAAGCGTTAATTTTAATTGCAATGTCGAAAACTTTGCACTACATGGCGTAATTTTCATTACATCAGGGCTCGAGCAAGTGGGCGATTCGGGCGAAATAGTCGCCGAATTCCGTATGACTTCGCCGACATCCTACATGAAAGCGAAGATGAAGTCGCCCGATTTTATTGATCCATTATTGCAAAATACCAACAATAACTGTGAATAACATTTGTGTGTGTTTGCTTTTGTTTTCCCTCGCCGCCGGAAAAAGGGACTGGTCATGCCATCTCAATCAAAACGGCGAAATGTCATTAATCCGTTTGTTTACCAACATGTCATAAAGTCTAATTAACAGACGCTGAGGAACAATTAGACTCCGCCCCATGGCGAGATTACATACGTGCGAGAAACCAATCGTAATTCACGGTTTAATCGAGGCGACATTTTAAACCAATCATTTAAATCGCTAACATACAACTACCCCGTAACAATTATTTATGATGGACGGATCAAACGTCAATTAAATTTTCACTATCGAATGATTGTCAGAATTATGAGGACCGCTCGACATATAACTGTAACGGTAATTTAAATGAAAGTTATGATAACCTTTTTTGTCGACGAGTTAAATTTGATAAAATTGACGGCGTATTACACTGTATTTATTACAAATGAAGTTAAATTAAAGATAGTTTCTTTTGTTATCTACTTTCATTTTCTTTACAACATATAGTTGAACCCCATTGTATCGTGCTATTCATTGTATCGATCTATTTACAAATCTTTAGATTTTCTGCAAAATACGTCACCTACTGATTGTTAACATTTACAACAGTGTCACGAAAATCTTTCGCATTTATTTTTGTGCAGTAAAATGATCAAAAACATGTTTCCAGTACCGTAAGACGTTGTAGATAATAAATAGACTTATAAATAATGTGTTCTTATTAAAAGTACATTTACTGTCTGTTAAAAGTTCCTAAATTTATGCTGACATTTTAAAACAGACATCTATGTTTCTAATTGACTGAAATTGCTAAAATAAAGATAGTTAAGGCTTCCCATACTTTGGCTAACTGAGCAATTCTCACAATGCATCGATATAATGGCGTGACCTAATTCTTCAACCTGTTTGACATGTCTGTAAATATCTGTATATTCCAAAGCTAAAAACTATATATCAGTGATGTTTGCCATGTAAATATTATGGCAAAATGATCAAAATAAATGATACAAAATAAATTTTCAGGGAGATTGGAATTTTTTAAATGCAGTTGTGATTTATGGGTTAATAGATCGATACAACGGGGTTCCAGGCTAAGTGAATATGAATATAATGTCCGGCGCAAGCTTTTTAATAGTAAATTAGAAGGGAATAACTGTTAATCCACCCATGATATGATCCATGATAGGAATCAACTATGGCTTTTTTATCTTCATTTAATGCAATCCCAGATAGCAGTTTGACGATTTTCCGTGGTTGGCCCAACCACTGCATGTTTACAGGGATGGTTGCATTACATGATACTCATTCTTATTACTTGTTTCAAACTACTTTTAAATTAAAATTGAATATTCTGTTGTAACACAAATCCAATTCATTTAATTAGATATGTACAGTGAGTCAACATAATTGCGATAACATACAACAAACATCGATAAATGAATCTCCTCACTTCTCCCTATAGTCTCCCCACTTCTCCCTAAACCAGCTGGAGGGAGAAGTGACTTCTCCCTAAATTTTGTACCTAGCTTGAGCCCTGTACATATCCGGTATTATCTCCGTCATAATAGTTTTTATTCCAGTCGGTCAAAATGACGGTACACATTTACATGTAAACAAA